TACGTGTCTGGGATTTCATATTCTATACGGGAAGCGTCAGTATATTTCGGGTATGATTTTATTCTCTTTACACGAATTTGTTTATTTTTTCAGAGTGAGAGGTTAGGTTAGTGGGACTTTACGTCCACGTTGCGGGACCTGGGCAAATTATCCAATATTTTCTAGCTTGTCGACTCGAGTTCGTAGTTTTTCGGTGTTAAACCAGGTCCAGGTGTAAGAGCCGCGCGCGACGCCGTTCGCAGCGCTGCCCCTGCCGCTTCGCTGCAAAGTGGATGTGATGTCCCACACCTAAGGCATCACAGGCAGACAATATGATAGCAATATAGAGTCGAGTGTTGTAATAAGGATTTCCGTTTTATTCTCATGGGTGAAATATTAGAAATTAATTTTCAGGTCATTATTTCAATAATGAAAATGAAAGAAGACGATATAGTTGAGTTAGGAAGGAGTTCTATGTCGTCGGCTGATCTTTTCAACGCCATCAGCCAACTGCCGCAAACAGTACGTTATTTTTAGGATGCTTACAGATAAAGTTCAAGGGTAGATCAATAGCGCTATCGTGTACCAAACGAGCACGCGGCACATAGGAAGTAGAAAGCGAAACAAGTAAGATAAAGAGGAATAAGGTGTTGCGAGATCTCATTAACTTAGGGGTAATTCGAGAAGGCTGTGCCTCAGAAAGTTTTGGAAATCGATGGATAGGGCCGATCTATTGGTCTCAAGGGGGAGGGTAAGGTTACCTCTATAGAGCTAAGTAAGGTGGAGCTTGAAAAGCCAAAATCCGGTCTCCTGGACGCTGGACCCTTTGCGTTACACTACTGCTACAACAGGCCGTACAAAATTATTGTATTTTCGCATAATACGCTTCAAAGATACAAAGCCACGCTAATAAGTGGGCGGAGATAGCCCTGCCATTGTGCTTCCCTCATTTTCGCGCCTCTCTCACTTTCTCAAACGTTAAAGAGTGCTAGCGTGGGGTTGGCCTCTCAGATGGATTCCGCAGTAATGGGACCTAGGTACAGTCTCGTTAGTCTCGGATGCTGGTGCCAGAAGGCTGGGTTCGGAGCGGCGCCAGCCTCTTCGCCACCAATTATTGGAGTGACCAGTGGACAGCAGTCGGTGGAAGTTGATAGGCGCCACGCCTAACCTGACTGACACGCCGCATTATCCGCAGCAAACTAAGCTGTAGTTTCAAATTTCGCCAAATTCCGCGTCTGCGAGAACGAAGATCAGCGAAATGCACTGAAATATCATTCCGTTTCTCACCGTTTGATTATGACCATTTTGCGCGTACACGGCGATTTGGTAACGAGTTGCCAATCAACCTATTGAGTAGTACTGCCAATGAAGTAACATAATAAAAAAGTTGTTACTTGCACGAACAAATGCATTCTGATTGCTGAACATAGTGAGCAAGAAGGGAAACGATTTCTGGTTCAACTCATTCATACTCGCCTATTTGTGAGTGGACAGTACTTTCGGTAGAGCTATTTAATGTGGTATGCAACAGAGCACTAGAGCCTATCCCAGCCTTATTGGGTCATCGCTACGTTTAATCCGGACCAGTTTTTTTACTAGTTTCCTATTACAGGTGGTTGAAGTAGACAAACTCGTTGAGTATATGACATCGTTCGAATTCACCATCACCGAACATCTGATCAATGAGTTACGAAAAAAGCATCAGGTGAGCCTTAGCATAATCGCATTTAAACAATTTCTACATTTTCTGTTACCTCTTTCTATGCATGCATATTGTTTGTTTAGAATGTAGTATATAGTCAGTCAGTGCTCAGGTTCTGTGCTTCAGTTACTATTAGGTTGATCAAAAAGTTTTGATAGGGTTGAGATTTTTTCTGTTTATTTTACAACTCAGCAAACAATGCAAGCTAATCAACAATATAATAACCATCGTTAGTCATAACATTGTCCCACCTAACGGGCAGGTCAGCGATTCCCTTCTCCCAGAACTGGGGAGATTGGGAGTCAAAGAAGTCACCGACCACTTGTTCAAGGTGGTCATAGTTGACGAATCGTTTTTGCTAGGAAAGCCTTGAGGGGCCGGAACAAGTGGTAATCTGAGGGGCAATATCAGGTGAATAGGGTGGATGTGGAACCGTGTCCCAGCCTAGCTCCTCCAATTTTGCACGGGTCTCTTTACCTATGTGAGGCCTAGCGTTGTCATGGAGGAGGTGCACAAAAGTTCGTCTAGGCCGTTTTTCTCGAACGGCTTCCGCAAGTTTCTGCAGCTGACCAGCGTAATAGGGAGCGGTGACGGTGTGGCCTTGCTTGAGCAGTTCGTAGTACAGCATTCCTTTTGAATCCCAGAAGCAGCAAAGGAGAAACTTCTTGGGGTGGAGGTCGGATTTGGCTTGCGTCGGCGGCTGTTCTCCTCGCGGGAGCCAGACGGCGCGGTGCTTATTAGTGTCGCCTTCATCTCCAATAACTAGGTCCTCCAGAAACTCCTTGCGATGTGGGCGGAGAAGGAGAGACTGACAAATGGATACCCGGGTGTACCGCATGCTATCGGTCAAGACATGAGGTATCCATCGAGTCAGCACTTTTCTGTAACCGAGGGCCTGAAGGCGACCGACGACTGTTGATTGGGCACACCCAAGTCTCGTCGCAAGACTGCGGGTGTTAACTTCCGGATCCTCTTTGACGTCGAGAATGACGGAGTCGTCGACGGCGAGGGGCGTCCCGACCGAGGCTTGTCTTCGAAGTCCGTGTCTCCTTCCTTGAAGCGAGCGAACCAGCGATGGACCGTAGCGATGGAAGTGGTGTCCCCCCCCCATACGCTGTTGATGTTGCGAACGGTTGCCGTCGCTCCGGTGTCGCGGTAGATCATTGCTACTTGTAGAAGATGATGTATCGAACATGGTGGGATTGACATCGTGATTTAAGCTAAAGGAGGAAGCGCGCCTATATATACCCATTACGGAGAAGGTTCTAGAATGTTCTACCACTACCACATGGTAGATCATTGGTATCGATCAAGAATCGAAAGTTCTGGAACTTTCAAAAAACCCTATCAAAACTTTTTGATCAACCTAATACATAGTTCAGTGATAGCCATTTGATCTGGGGTATTTACAGGCAATTCTGATGGCTGATCAAGGAATGATTGTGAACACAACAACGGACACCAATCTACCGAAGCAAAAAGTTCAACGGCGGAAACTTGCTCGTTCAAAAAGTATCATACAGCAGATTTTCCACTCGAAAGAGGTTTGTGAAAAATTTATTGTCTTTTCCGAAGTGACAATAGTCTTACCTCTTGCACAGCTTCTACACGATTTCTCCAAGGAACAATGAAATTATGCTTTGTTGGACCTCCTGAGGGTTTAGCCCGATGATGCTCAAAAAACGGTTTCCCAACTAGGTAGCACTTCCAGGATATAGGGATATTTCACTGTTAGTAGACGAAATCTTACAGGGGGGCAGGATTGGAATGAGAAGTGCATGTCTTCTTGTCTTGCCCGTGAACAAAAAAGCAGACAAATTCGTTAAAAATGCCCAAAATATATCCGTCCGCGTTCCTAGAAGAGGGCGAACATTTGATGGGATTCCAGTGACAGCTTGGACGTGCGGAGCGGCTTTGCTTTCGCAGCGTTCCTGACCTCCCTAACTACACCAAGCTTCTGAGCACCAAGTTCTTCCACCAATCTATTATTTGTTTTTCATCAATTTCCAACAGAGCCCAATAGCAGAGATGTGATTTAGTACTTGCAGGAGGGCACTGTCTGGAAATTCTTTCTCGATCGTGTCATGCTCACTCCCTCCTAGTGTACGGCGCGGCAATGTCACTTGTCCGACAAATAAACAAAAGAAGGTGGGGATGGTGTAGTGACAAGTGGCGCGCTTACCACTCGCGCGGTTCCGGGTTCAAATCCCGGGTCGACTCCCGCCCAGGCCAACCAAGCCTTCTACCCTCCGGGGACGGTAAATTGGTACCAGATTCGTCTGGGAGGATAAAACACTGACTTGTACATCGGCTGGCCCCGCAAGTCATTGTATAGGCCACATCGCATTCAATAAGCCACTACGATTCTGAATGGAAGTAGAATGCGTGCCGCATCCCACAAAGGGATTGATCAACGGCGAAGACTTCATCCTTTTAATCGTGGGGAACCGAAATGAAGGAAAATTTCTCGGCGCGATGACCTGGTTTGGGCATCTGCATCGGCTCTAGAACGTCGATTGACTGCTCAGGTCAAATCGCGTTCTGCCATTATGACAGGCTGAACTGAAGCAAAGTGCATGGCGCAATACTCTCCAGGGAGGAATTATTAACGCCAAATGCATTATCTTTTTTTTCTTTCTATCACTGTCAACTGTTTTATGGTTTGTTCCAGTTTTTTTCTCTATTTTTATTTTTTCGCACATTTCACATATAACTTCTTCTCTTGAAATTATTCATTTTTGGATTTCTTGCGTGAATCGCATGGTTATTATCGCCTTCTAATTTTCAGGGCGACAACGATCCAAAACTGAAAAATGTCCGTCAACCGGAAATTCTCGTGGATTTGAAAGACTCAGTGCTGCAAATCTGCCGCTATTTCATCAGCTGTGATGAGAAAATGGAGATGAACATCCACCAAGGTGTGCTCATTTTATTTAAATAATAATGCCGGCCAGCCTCTAAAAGCCCTGCCGTTTGCTTCGGCCCTAGAGGCAGCGTTCAGACGTTACGCCGACGGGAGCAACAGGCTTTGGATCGCGCGTTCGACGATCGATGCGCATGTTTTCGGCTGCATCGATCGCGTTGAACGCGCGACCGAAGCGCTGCCGTCGCGAAGTCTGAACGCTGCCTAAGCATGGGAATGCTGATACACCCTTCCAGTCAAGTTCCAACCTTGGTGGACGACAACCATTGGGCGTTGAGGTGACGCTGAGGCTTAGCGAGCCTCAGCGTTTTATTTATTACTTTTCTTTGATGTTTATACCGCGAACAAGTAGCTGGTTACTAACTGTTA